ACTTTTGACTGGCCCCTACACCAGTTTGATGTTAAAAATGCATTCTTGAATGGAGACTTGCATGAAGAGGTCTATATGTCTCTACCTCCAGGAGTGTATGGGAAGGAAATGAAAGGTAAGGTGTGTAAACTACACAAATCTATTTATTATCTCAAACAGTCTCCTCGGGCTTGGTTTGAGAGATCTCGGGCAGCTCTTGTCTCCTTTGGCTACACTCAAACTCAATTTGATCATACACTGTTCTTGAAGAGAAATGACACTCTGGTGACCTTCTTGATTGTTTATGTTGATGATATTGTGGTCACGGGTAATGACACTGAAGAGGTTAGTAAACTAAAAGGATTTCTCAACTCTGAATTTGAAATCAAGGATTTRGGAGATCTTCGGTATTTCTTGGGCATTGAAGTTGCTCGATCTAAGGATGGCATCTTCATCTCTCAGCGTAAATATGTCCTTGATCTTCTTGCTGAAACTGGTAAACTTGGAGCTAAACCCATCTCCACTCCTATTGATCCTAATGATAAGCTTTCTACTACAGATGGTGAGCTTTTGTCTGATAAGGGAGTGTTGCAGAGACTGCTTGGGAAGTTGTTATTACCTTTGCATGACTCGGCCATATATTTCCTATGCAGTAAGTGTTATTAGTCAATTTATGCATTCTCTCAGAGATACTCATTTAGCTGTTGCAGAAAGGGTTCTGTGCTACTTGAAAGGTACCCCAAGGAAAGGTATTCTATTTGCTAAACATGGTCACATGAAGCTGAAAGCTTTTACTGATGCCGATTGGGCAAGATGTATTGATGATAGATGATCCACCTCTGGTTATTGTGCTCTTGTTGCTGGGAATATTGTGTCATGGAGGAGTAAGAAACAGTTTGTAGTTGCTAGATCCTCAGCTGAAGCAGAAAACAGGGCAATGGCACATGGTGTGTTAGAATTACTGTGGCTATGTTCCCTTCTAGAAGAATTGGGGGTGGACTACGCGAAACCAATGATGCTCTATTGTGACAACCAAGCTGCTATCAACATTGCACATAATCCTTTTCAATATGACAGAACTAAGCACATTGAGGTTGATAGGCATTTTATAAGGGAAAGAGTTTCCTCAGGAGAAGTTTGTTTACCATTCATCACATCAGAAGAGCAACTGGCTGATATCTTGACCAAGGGAGTTCTAAGAGGGAAAATGACACAATATATAAGCAAGTTGGGCATGATTGACGTCTATGCTCAGCTTGAGGGGGAGTGTAAAGAGACTAGGCCGAATGGGCCCTAACATCCTCTCTTGTAATATCTTTTATTTTATTGTTGATGGGCCACACTTAATGGGCCTGCTATTTATTCTTGTTTTATTTTCTTTATGTAACTGCCAAGCTGGCCGCCCACTAAAGGGCATTCTTGTCATCATCTAATTTTTAGATCTTAATAAAATAGGGTTAGAGGAGAATGGAGATTAATTCGACTCCTTCTTCTCTTACCTTCTCTTTTCGCCATCTTCTCCTGTATAGCTGTTCAGACCTGCTCTTTACTTCTTCTAATCCCTAAATTTATTCTTGATATTTGAGGACTGATTTACATCTATTTTCAAATCTAAAAGGTGAAGGACCATGCAAAAAAGATTTTGAACCTAATCTAATGGGGTGGTGGTCTGAAGTGACTCTAGGCAAAGCTCTAGATACCAATCCTTCCTAGTGATCTTCCCATCCTCTGTTGAATACAAACCTATCCAGTTTTGAACACAACGGGTTTTCCTGAAAGTTCGACCAAGTGCTTGCAAGAGAGGAATTTCCTTCAACTCACACAAGTCTAAGAGTTCATTAAATCTTGTCATTATTGGTGATGATTGATTGTCAGGGCTAGAAGTTTCATTGGAAAACCTTGTCACATTGAAATTCCCTCCCAAACACCATGCACCCTCCCATAAACCCCAAATTTCATACAGTTCTTCCCAAATTCCATTCCTCTCTCTATAATTGTTTGGTCCGTATACATTAGTTAATACCCAAGTAAATCCATCCTCTACATTTTAAACTTTGTTGATACTGAAAATCTGCCAATTAGTTCCTCCATTGATTCCAACACTTTATCCTTCCACAGAGTCACTATACCCCCTGAGGCCCCCAAGATGGAGCCTCAATCCATCTTATAGCCCATGATCTCCATAAACTCCTAATCCATCTTCTATCTAATTCTGCTAGTTTAGTCTCTTGCAACATCACGACATCAGAATTCTCCCTTTTTAATAAATCCTTTATTACCCTCTTTTTTCGTGCACTACCCAATTTTCTTACCTTCCAACTAATTATTCTCATTTTTCACTTTGAGCTAAATTCTCTTTCTCCTCTCACTTCCCTATTTGGGTTGTTTCCTTCTCCCTCCCCGCCCACCTTATGAGCCTTTTGACTTTGTTGTCCTCTCCTACAGCTGAGTTAGCTGTATCTTTCTCCTTTTCCTTTTCTATCCCCCCTTCCCTCTTTTCTTCCTTATCTACTTCTTGATTATTCTCCTCAGCTATTTCTTTCATTCTTTTGAGGTCCTTTCTTGCTTTTCCCTTTCCTATTCCTGCTCCCATTACTCCCCCTTCTTCTACTACCCTTTCAGATTGGCTTGCTGTTACACCCCCTCCTTTCCCCTCAATTCTTCAGGCTGGGAATCTGGTGTATCTGTTTCAGGCAGAGCACACACATCAGTAAGCAAAACTGAATTGACACATATACCTGGGTCCGAAACGGGTGTAGCAAGATTCGAGAAATCAGAAAATGGGGAAACACCCTTGTTGGGGGTCAAGGCATCAGACCTATCCCCTAAAAAAGGCTGTTGTAAAGTGGGAATGGGATCGGTTTCAACTCTGTCTGCAGCAGAAGCCTTTTCCAGTGCATCCTTCTCTGTTCCCCCGATGCAAACCTTCCTGATATCCTCTTGTCTCACTTCTTGTGATCCTTGTTCCTGCTGAGAGCTTGGGGGTAAGTTCCTTGTAATAGGAGCAGAGGTAGCCTGTTCAACTTCGATTAAGCACACTGCCAGCCCGACTTCCTTTGTTAACTTCTCAGGAGCCTGATTGTCTTCTCTTTCTTCCAGGAACAGCTCTTCTGTGTTGAAGCTCTCTGCCTCATTCAGATCCATCATCACAGTTTGAATAATGCTACCCAAGCTCAAGTATTCAGAGGACTCTGAGTCACAGTCTGAATCGCGATCGCTGCTTCCGTTGTCAAAATCTGAGTCTTCATCTTGACATCACTCCTTTCCTTTGCTATTGCATCTGCCAAATTCAGGGTTACACTTTTCAGGAGATTCTACCCTCTTCCCTTTGCTAGATACCCATTGCATCGATCTTTGCTGCCCCATTGTCGCACAACGGCTTCCTTGCATTCCTGACTTGATCGAGGAAGATGATGATAGACATTATTTGTTGTCTATCATCGGGCCTCCTTTTGATATCATGTGCCCTTTTAAATGGTCATGTGAAGTGTTATTTTTAGGCCCAGATTCAGATCCGAAAGTAATTCATCTATGGGCCTCAAAGGGAGAAGGCCAGGCCCAGTTTTAATCATCACATTGTCACTCAAAGTGACACGTGCCAAGTTTGACCCAGTAAGATCAGTCCGATTACGGTTGAACCACCTATAGGCTGACCCAAAGTCTTACTCAAAATTTGAAAATGGGCCTGCTTCCCATGCCGAGCTCCACCAGTCAGTGCCTCGGCGTAAGACCCGCCACGTGTCAAATCTCCTCCAATCCCTGGACTGTTCATTTCCTCCCCTGCGCCCTTGCCTTTTCCACTACACAGGACTTATTTTGCCATTTCAGAGTAATTTCCAATTACAGTACTTTCGACCACTTGTCTTTTGCCACATAGGAGCTCTTCTTCAAACCTTTCGTCTTCCTCCCTTCTAGCAGCTCTCCACAACGCAGCTTCAATGGCAGTTGTCAACCAGACTGAGTACACCAGTTGAGCATCTGCAACTAAAATTTTCCTTGGGATTTCCTCAGGTCTGACCTACTCAAGCAAATAGCTGCTGAGTGAAGGTCTATTGCAAAGATGCTATACAGCTTTGCCACTGTGAAGCTGCCAGAACTTCCCGCAATATTCAAGGCAGTTACATCTACCACATCATCTATTAATTTTAGCAAAACCTTCTTCTTTTCAAAGGGAGTTACTATTACTGCCCCTTTAAGTTTCAAGTCCTTGATTATTTTTTCTGCTATTTTCTTCCAATCTAATGGTTGTTCCATTGTCTGAACCACTAGCTTCTTTTCTCAGTTGCCTCTCTTTCAATTTGCTATGATTCTGAATAAACCTCCTTTGCCTGTCATAACCCGTATTCTATCATCAGTTTCCTCTTCCTTTGATTCATTAGTTTTCATGTTTTCTGCTTTTTTGTCTTCCTCTGTCTTCTTCTCGACTCAGAACCTCCTTCAAAGTATTTGTGATTTCCTTCCAACCTTCCCCTCTTTCCTTCTGGGAAGCAGACCACCTGCTTCTTCTCTTTCACTAGAATGTATTTAGTTGAAAAGAAGTATTATACATAGTTTCTTGAGATCATGTTTCAGTCAAATTCACTTTCAAATCTTATTTTAGGCAATAACCTCAGCTGCATATCGTTTCTAATTGGTTAGTGTAAGTGAGGTGCTAGGATGGATATTTATGATATCCAGACATTGATATGGGTAGCGGGGATACAACTCGCCATTTACTCATATCATGCTTCTGTATCTAGTTTTTGAAGCTTTGTCATTTCTCAAATCTTATGTCTTGCAAAATTTAATTAAAATTTCAACATATAGTCATGGATTTTTTTTAATAGTATGATTTCTTAAAAATACCATTTTAATACTATGGAGAATATCTAGAAGAGTCCATGCAATATTTTGTGTTTTATCAGGTATGTACTGTGTCCTATCTACTATCAAGTGCATAATTCCAAAAAGGCATGCACAGCTGGTGCTGCACTACTTATGGTCCTGGCTTGTGCCTGAGTGGCTTATATTTGACATTGCAGGGAGTGCTCATTGTAGGTGAGAGGGGAACAGGGAAAACATCCCTAGCACTTGCTATAGCTGCAGAAGCCAAGGTGCCTGTTGTTGAAGTTAAGGCTCAACAGTTGGAGGCTGGTTTATGGGTTGGCCAAAGTGCATCAAATGTTAGGGAACTTTTCCAAACAGCAAGGGATCTGGTTGTGCTCTATAAACCAACTTATTAATTTTCCTATTGTTGCCAAAATTTGAAAAATTTCAGTGTAGTTTCTTAAATATCTTAAATTATCCTTGACAGGCACCTGTTATAATCTTTGTTGAGGATTTTGACCTGTTCGCTGGTGTTCGTGGAAAGTTTATTCACACTAAAGAGCAGGACCATGAGGCTTTTATTAATCAACTTCTTGTGGAACTTGATGGGTAAATGCCAAGATCTCTTGTTTTAGTGTTTTTTTTTTTCACAAGGCTTGTGTAATGATTATCAGTGTTGTATTACATCAACATGAGAACCAGAATCTGACTCATGCCCAAGAGTCTGACTTGGCAAGACCAAAAAATAAGGAGTTGTAGATATTCAAAAAAGTTTTTAATCCTATAAAAAGTTTGCTTTTTAGCATTATAATCCTATAAAAGAGTTCTTAAAAGTTTACTTTTGTTACTTAATAGCATTTTGCAGGAAAAGTGGCATTCAATGTGTACATTAATTATTCATTTCTATCAAATAAATAGTAAGAGAAAATTATCATGTCCTTTTTTGACAAGTCATGTATGTATCCCTCAAGAACCCACGGCGTGTTGGTGTCTGATGTGTACCTGACATGGACACTTTATCCATTTAGGAGAGTCCATGCAACACTGATAGTTATCCTAGGTTGTAATTTGCCTTAGAGTTACAGTATTCAGGTGCATACTGTTCCACCTATACATTATATATTGCAGTCTTATATATTAACTTATCTTAACTATATATGCTTTGCTGGATTGAGTTAAGCATGTGGGATGTCAACAAGTTGGAGTAGTTGGAGATATGGGTTTCATGCATATTTTCAATTAAATGGTAGGATTTAACAATCTGGTAACCATTATTATTAATCAAGTTAATGTGCTTAAGGATTGTCATTTTTACTTCTTACCTAGGTGGCAATTTCCACTTCAAATCTTTTTCAACTCTAGCTTCATGGCTGAGAACCTTCTCCTTGCAGTAATGACTTCTTTGTTTTAAACCTTTTTGATCATTAAGGGTAAGATTGTATTGCAGAAACTTTTGAATATCAAGTCTTAAACTCTGCCAAGATTGTTAAAAGGGATGAAAACTTTGACCAAAATTGAAGCCCAAAAATAAGCTGTATGCCCTATTTTTTCCAGTTCCTATAATCACTCAGGACATCTTTTGCCTTCAAAGATCTTATTTATTTCCTTAAATAGGCTTGAAGAGATGGCAAATAAGATTAGGGTCCAAAAGGTGTGACTATTTTTTCTGGGACTGCATTTGTAGAAACTTAACCACTCCTACCCAAATAATTTGATAAAGTGTGGCCAGACCTTAATGGAGTAATCAGTGGAGGAGATGGAATGCTATTTCTTCTTAAGTGTGGTATAAGGAGGAGCACATATTTTGAATATCTCTCTCATGTGATATCAGATGATCTGTAGTTAAAATTTTCTCATTGAATACTGTCCACATTAATAAGAAAACCTTATGAAGGATATACAGAGCACATACTGGATTGCCATAGAAATGAAACTCTCTGACCTCTGATGAGGGTCTAATAGGAGGATGTGATCAAGAAGAAATTTTCCTATCACTTTTATAATTTTGTGTGATTCATCTAGATTGTCACCAGTGTTTTAAAAGGTGTGGGAGGCATATTCCTGGATGCAGGCCTCCTATGCCTCTTACTTCTGAACTACACCTCACACCATCGGGCAGTGAAACGCCTCGGTCACGCCTCTGCGTTTTAAAGCATTGATTGCCAAAAATATATTCATGTTTTTGAGCTTTTGTAATATTTAGATTTCAATATGTGATTTATTTATTTATCTTTTTTAGTGAGTAAGCTGGAGCCAAATGCAGAATCTGTGTTGGTGATGTCTCTTCAACCATTTGAACTATGGGCTTGAATTCTAGTAATTTTAGATCACAGTTTTATTAGATGCTTAAGTTCTGATTGACAAAGTTGGTAATCAGACTAACCTTTAGTACTTGTTTGGGCAAGAAGCCAATCATGCAACTTATTTGATAACTCAACATATATGATGTTAGTACTAGTTTTATGTTGTAATTATATTAGTGTTTAACGTGTGATGTTCTTTGTGCAGGTTTGAGAAACAGGATGGGGTTGTCTTAATGGCTACTACTAGAAACCTCAAGCAAATTGACCAGGCCTTACAACGGCCTGGTCGAATGGATAGAATATTTCATCTTCAACGGCCTACTCAACTTGAAAGGGAGAAAATCTTGCGTATTGCAGCAAAAGAATCCATGGACCATGAACTCATAGAACTCGTAGATTGGAAAAAGGTAACCATGACCTTACAGTTTTATATGCATTCGCTTTTGGATCAATAATGGCCAATTTTATTAGAAAGAGAAAAGAGAGGTTCAAATAAATAGCCATGGGCCATGGCTTTCAATAGAAGCTAGGAAACCTGAATCATATGACGAAAGAAAAACCAAAGAACATAAATTATATCAACAATTCTTTATTGGGAAGACAATCTTGGATTGGATTTTGATTCTTCCAGACATTCTAGGTCTTTTTCTATGTACTTTTTGCTTTATGGTGATTCCTCATCACTTATTGGATTGTACTCCTTTTATCTCAATGAATTTTATTTTTTATTTATTTTTTGATCAATAACTCAGAAAAAAGATTTCATTAATCTAATTAAGGCAGCACAACAAGAAGTTGTGAAGGATAAACCCCCAAATATTACAATTGAGCCCAAAACATAGACTGTATTTGTACCCCTTGTTTAGCTAAATTATTTGCTGAACTGTTGGTCGATCTCCTAACCCAATTAACTTGAATAAACATATCCTTGGAGAGCCATTTGAACCTCCTAAAATCATTACTTATAGGGATGCGAATGGATCGGATCAGATTTGAATAAGGGTATATCCGAATCCGATCTGATACTATGAACAGAAGATCCGATCTGATCGGATCTCACAAGCATTGATTTGAACTCAAATCCAACGAGGAAGTCGGATATTCGAATCAAAGTAAATGTGTTCTCTAAATCTGATATAAAGATCTTGATTAAAGTAGAAAAGAATGAGAAAGAAAGAGGAATACAATAGAATAGAAGAAGAAGAGGAAGAAGAAGAGAGTTCGATAATCTCCTCTCCCTCACTAATTCTTTTATTAATCTTCATTAACTAGGTTAATTACAAGACTGCCCTTAAGTGAGCGACCAGCTAAGCAAGAACTTAAAAGAACTTATAAAATAGGTTAACAGGCCCATAAAGATAGGCCCATTAACATACAAAATAAATATCATATTACCTAAACATAAAAACAGATACTAGGGCCCATTCAGCCTAGTCTCTCTATACTCCCCCTTAAGCTGAGCATAGATGTCAATCATGCCCAACTTGCTTATATAGTGTGCCAGCTTCCCTTTTGGAACACCTTTGGTTAAAACATCATCCAACTACTCTTCTGAAGAGATAAATGGCAAGCAAACTTCCCCTGAAGCAACTCTTTCCTGTATAAAATTTTTATCAACCTCTATGTGCTTAGTTCTGTCATGTTGAACAGGATTATGTGCAATGTTGATGGCTGCCTGGTTGTCATAGTAGAGCATCATTGGCTTTTCATAGTCAATACTCAATTCTTCCAAAAGTGATCTCAGCCACAGTAATTCTGATACTCCATGTGCCATTGCCCTGTACTCTGCTTCAACTGAGGATCTGGCTACTACAGATTGTTTCTTACTCCTCCATGAGATAATGTTCCCTGCCACCAAAGCACAGTATCCTGAGGTGGATCTCCTATCATCAATACATCCATCCCAGCCAACATCAGTGTATGCCTCCAGCTTTGTGTGTTCATGCTTGTCAAACAGAATACCTTTCTCTGGAATGCCTTTCAAGTAACACAACTTTTTTTGCAGCTGCAAATGTGTATCTTTGGGAGAATGCATAAACTGACTAATAACATTCACTGCATAGGAAATAATTGGCCGAGTCATGTAGAGATATAACAACTTCTCTCAAAGCCTCTGAAACACTCCCCTATTAGACACCGGTTCACCATCAGTAGCAGAGAGCTTATGATTGAGGTCTATAGGGGTGGAAGCCGGTTTAGCTCCAAGTTTACCAGTCTCTGCAAAGAGGTCAAGAACATACTTGTGTTGAGAAATGAAGATACCATCCTTAGATCTAGCAACTTCAATTCCCAAGAAATATCTGAGATCCCCCAAATCCTTGATCTCAAATTCAGAGTTAAGAAATCTTTTCAGCTTAATCACTTCTTGGGTGTCATTACCCGTAACCACAATGTCATCAACATAAACAATTAGAAAAGTTACTAAAGAGTTGCTTCTTTTTAGAAACAAAGTATGGTCAGATTGAGTTTGTGTGTAACCAAAAGAGACAAGGGCAGCTCTGAATCTCTCAAACCTGGCTCAAGGAGACTGTTTGAGAGCATAAATGGGTTTCTACAGTTTACACACCTTTCCTTGTATTTCCTTTCCATACACCCTTAGAGGCAAAGGCATATAAACCTCTTCATGTATGTTTCCATTCAAGAAAGCATTTTTAATATCAAATTGGAGGGGCCAATCAAAAGTGGAAGGTAGAGACAATAAAACTCGAATTGAAGTCTGAAGGTAATCAATACCATATATCTGAGTGTGGCCTTTAGCAACCAATCTAGCCTTAAATCTCTCAATAGTGCCATCAGAATGATACTTAATAGTGAACACTCATAACTTTTTGGATCCTAGAATTCTCTTCATCTCCCTTCTCTTCTCTCTCTTCCTTTCTTCTCCCTTTCTTTTTTGTTTCTTTGATTTGTTCAACCTATAAAACATGTGGAGCAGGTTTTCTAGGTTAGAAGCAGTGTAACAAAGTCTTGTCAGTTTCTTCTTCCTCAATCTCTCAGTTCCTTCTCTACTATGTATCGAATTGATCTGAAGGGTTTTTTTTTTAGGTTCTCTTCCTTTCTTTGTTGGTCGTGTGCCAAGAAAACCCTAGAAGAAGGGAACTCTGATGCTTTGAAGGCAAGTCTTCTTAATCCTGTGGATCGTGTGTTCCTTTCTTGTACCCAGGTAAGTGGGTTTTAGAGGTCTGGATGACCTGCAATCACCTTTTTTTTTTTTGGATTGTGGATCGGGTGATCCTGTTTCTTGTACCTAGACAACTGGGTGGTGTAGGTTTGAATGACCTGTGATTGTTTGACAATGGTTTGCTAATGTCTCTTGGGAAATTATAGTGGTTTGCTAAGGGCTGTCGAGTTCCTGAATTGCCTCCTTATATGTGTGTGGTGTTCCTAAGATCTGTTGTTTGACCGAACTGAACTATGAATTGTGAACTAAACTCGGATGAATTGTGGCTGAACTGAATTGAATTGTCAAATCAAACCTTATATCATGTCATCTGAGGATTCTAATGTGTCTATTGGACCTTCCAATCAAGGTGGAGTGAGTGGAGGATTTGACATGAGCTTCCCCATGGGTGTAATACTGTTTGATGGTCTTAATTACCTAAAATGGTCAAGGGGAATTAAACTATACATAGCTGCCAGGGGGAAGGTGGGCTATATTAATGGTAAAACCAAAGAACCGACTCGGTGTAGAGCATGATAGGTGGGATAAAGAAAATAGTATGGTGATGTCATGGTTGCTACTTTCCATGTTGCCTCCAGTCAGGAAGACATTCATGTGGGCTGAAACAACTGTTGAGATTTGGGAGCAAGCAAAATATACTTATTCAAAGCAACGTCACTATACCAAAATATACCAGTTGCAAGCTGCCTCCTCTACTTGTAAGTTGGGGGAAAGGAGTGTCTCATCATATTACTCATATTTGACCTCGATATGGAAAGAACTGGAGCACTATCAGAACATAGACTGGAAGTGTGATGCTGATGCTAAGGCCTACATGTCTTTGGTTTCCTAGCAACGGGTCTTTGCCTTCCTCTTGGGGCTGAACCCAGTATACGAGTCTCTTAGAGTCCAAATATTAGGAAGTTAAGGTCTTCCTTCAGTACAAGAAGTGAATGCCCTACTTCAATCTGAAGAGAGCAGGTAGATTGTGATGAATAACTCAGAGGGGGAGCAAATTGCCTTAGTGGAAAAAGGGAGTTTGGGTGTAGGAGGCAGCAATTCTTTTAAGAAGGGTGACTTCCAGAAGAAAGTGGGTGATAAGGATAAGTTATGGTGTACTCATTGTCAGAAGGCTAGACATACTAGGGATACATGTTGGGACCTCCACGAGAAGCCAAAGTGGGCTCAGGAGTTGAGTAAGAAATTAGATCAGAATAAGAAGTTGATACAGCAAGGTAAAAAAAATTCAATACAGCAAACTTAGCCTCTCAGGGGTCTCAATAATCTACCACTACTAGCCTTCCTGGAACCGATCCTCGGGAAGATATCATTAACTCTTTCCGTGACCATTTAGAGCTGTATGGGAGGGCAATTCGCTGGATGGATTCTGCTCCTCCTGCCTCGACTTCCTTTGCATCTACTTTAGGTAATGGTAACTTTGCCACCGCCTTCCATGTGTCCTTTCATTCATTAGATTCCCCTTGGATAATTGACTCTGGAGCCTTAAATCATATAACGGGTAAGTCTAATTGTTTTCAATCCTATCACCTTTTATCTGGTAGGGACAAAGTGAGATTAGCTGATGGCTCTTTTTCCACCATTACTGGTCAAGGCATTGTATCCCTTCCTTTTGGACTTACCCTTTCTAATGTGTTGCATGTTCCACAATTGCCTATAAATTTGTTTTCTGTTAGTAGCATAACAAACTCATTAAACTATTCAGTGACCTTTTTCCCTTCTTCTTGTGTATTGCAGGATTTGGACTTGGGGAAGATGATTGGTAGAAGTTGTATGGTGGATGGTCTTTACATGTTGGAGAATAAAGCTTGTTTTGCGGTTATTGAGTCTACAAGTCAGTCTAGTAAGAGTCAGGTCTATTTATGGCATAGTCGTTTGGGTCATTTATCGTTTGAGTCACTAAAGGTCTTGCTTCCAAATTTGTTTAAAGCAGTGTCAGTGTCTGAATTTAAATGTCAAACTTGTCAATTGAACAAACATTGTAGAAATAATTTTTCTTCAAGAAATAGTAAATTTGATTTCCCTTTCTATATTGTTTACTCTGATGTTTGGGGCCTTGTTACCTTACCATCTGAGCTTGGCTATAAATACTTTATTACACTTATTGATGACTACTCTAGATATACATGGGTGTATCCCTTGTGGTCCAGAGATGAAGTGCCAAAACTTGTAAATGATTTCCAACCCATGATATTCACTTAGTTTTAGACGGAGATTTGAATATTCCAA